TTATCTAGACATCAGAGAGTCTCTTGCTATGCTTTCCAGTGTAGTATAAAACTTGAAAATATTGGCTGTGTATGTTTGCTTCATTTTACAGATCTTTATGTAATCGTGATGTTAAATAAAATACTTAACAGTAAAAGCTTACCTATAATATTGGTCCAATCTGAAAACACTACTTAGCAGTCAACACCTGCTGAATACTGAAAGACTACCATCTACTTATCTATCTCTTTATCAGGTTCAAGGTGTAAAACAACCACCATGTGGGAATATGAGACAACATTATATAATTACATTTAAGGTGTAGTTTTGGTATTCAGTCAGTTGCATCATCCCTCTTCAGAGGAATTATTTTAAGTGCTTTGGCTATTCTCTCTCCTACAGCTCGACTACTTGCTGCAATTATTCTTCGAGACATCAAATCAAATGGTCCACCTAGAAATCAAAGCAAGCAAAATAACTAGCTTATATCTCAAGAAAATTAAAACTTGGTAAGAAAATAAGCATTGAAAAAAGTCAAACATAAATTACTATTGAGGACCAAGTTTTGCCCCTGGATAAAAACACATGTAACACAATGCACAACACTCATATGAGCTACATTTAAATTCTCTTCAGTGTATGTTTACTGTCTTTTTCCACTCTTCCAGGTGCTCAGCCGAGGCAGTAAAGGTTGTCTTATAGCTGAAGAACATACAATTGACTGTCTGTCTATTAACTGGATGGGAACTCTGTTCAGTAGTAACTTGGAAAGAGGACTGAAAAACCTCTTTGCCTTCTCATTTCAGCTATGTTTTTCTCCCAAATAGCTATTTAAAAGAAGAAGAGTATCACACATGCCTGTGTATTTACCTGATACATCTAGCAGTACTCCACCTGCTTCAGTAATAATGATTCCAGCCCCTGCCATATCCCAGCAGTGAATCCCCATTTCATAATAGGCATCAGCTCCACCTGTTGCCACAAGGCACATGTTCACAGCTGCTGTACCAACGGCTCTAATCCTAAAGGAGATACAGTTGTTGTTTTAATTGAGAACAGTTTGTAAGAACATCACAATGTCTGTGTACACTACACAGAGAACGCAAAAGCATCATACACAAGGTGAACTGAGCTAGAGAAAATGTGATGGAATGATGCAGTGAAACAAATAAAAAATTGGGAATTAAGTGGTGCTCTCCAAATACAGCAAATTTCCAGAAATAACATTTATGAATTCTATGAAACAATTTTGTTTTAAAGTGAAAACACATCTCAGACAACTTCTTAACCTAAAATATATTACACAAGGTATCTACCCATGAAACATTAATAGTTATTCTGCTTTGCTTTTTGAAAACAAGAATTCAAGTACACTGCTCTCAGTGTTGAAAAAACAGTTACTTCAGTTTCTCTGGTGATACTCAGTAAACATCTCTGACTTGCAAAAAAAAACCTAACAGCAGTAATCTCAAAAAAATAAATTACACAGCATAAATCTGGTCTGGATAACTTAATCAAAGCCCTTGTGTTACACACTCCAGTTTCTTTTGGAAAGGTTTATGCGCTTAGTAGTAAGTGTGGACTTGTACAAATAATTGCAGTTATTTCAATTATCAGTAAAATGTACATTAAATTGTACCTCATAGTAAAGTTCCTGCAAAAAGCAATGTAAATTAACTCCAAGCTAAATTTATTGTTTACAAATAAAATACCAAAGTTGAGCTGACCACATACCTAAAATGTACTCCCTACTTGCAATTCAGCATATATTCTTTAATGACATCAGAAGACTTTTCAGAAGTAGAAAAAAATCTACACATTAAGTGTCAAAACAAGAATCCTGAGAGCCTCACCATAAAACTACAACCCCTTTTAGATCAGAAACATGAGCAGGGTTGAGTAACAAAAAACTATACACTGAAACCACCATTAGACATAAAATGGTTTGCAGAAATTTAGCTTTGGCTTATCTGGAGGAGAGGAAGCAGGAAATCTAACCAAAATAAGAGTAGTTTACATACATTTTCAGCTACTTGAACAATTTAAAAAAAACTATGGTGCTGAAAGAGGAAAGGGAGATCTATGTTTGTCTTCTGATATATATAAAAAAACCCAATGATTTTCATTAAAACAGAGAAAAGAAACTAAGAAACATAATATAGTTTCTGTTTATCCAATTTATCTAGTGTGATTCTGGAATAAAATTGTATTTCATTTTTTTTAACTAGTATATACAATACTTTTTAGTCTACAAAACCAAGCATGCTTTGCTTCTCAATACTGATTGTTAGGGTTCTCTGATGTATGTCCCAGCTTGAAAAAGTTATACACACTTAAGGGTTTCTCTGAAAAAGCTACTAGACAAAAACATTTAAATAATATTTCACATTTAAGATGTCAAATGTAATGCAACCAATCCTTCCTAAAAATGATCATATTTACAATATTAACACTATCAGCAAATATAAAAAATAGGAAGTATCTCTCTTACCCATGAATAGGAATACTGAGAAGTCTTTCCATGTTAGAAAGAATTATTTTTATAGTCTCTGGATCACGATTTGATCCCAATTCCGTTACTAAAAGGGATTTTGTAATGTCTGGAAAAGAAACAAAATCACACTTTCCAACAGTAGAACTTTTATAACAGTAATTCAGAGTTTACTTCATTGCTTTCTTACAAGACTGAATAAAAATAAGGTATTTTAACATAAATAGTACATATATTGAATGCATAAAAATCTGTTCTTACATGGAAAATGGTGGGAAAAAATAGAATACAGCAAACAAAGTATGACCTGGATCAATTGTCCATATACATTAATCAATGTCATCAGTAAAAAATATTATATTGCTATAAAAATTGGAACAGTCCTCAGATCTTTAATGGTCCTAGTTTAAGTGTGGATTTTACTTTACATAGGTTAGTAAGTATACAAGAGTGATACTGATTCAAATCACTAATTCACACCTGGAAGACCTTGAATTGTTTGATAGATTTGTTACAAACTCTAAAGAACAATCACAGGTGGATTACAGACATACAGGGAAGAAAAACAAATAAACAAAACCACCACACAGACACACGGGAAATAAAATTGCTGAGTCCTGATTTAGCAAAGATCACATGCATGTTATATGCATCAAAGAGAACATAAAAGCTGCTTCTCAAAACTGAACAACCCATGGTCAAAAAAAGCCTGTCTTTGCAAAATAAAACTATGACCTAAGAAATAGGGGTGTATCCAGGTCTGAAACTGTTGATGCCTCATTTGCAAAATAAATGTAATTAGTAGAAACAAGCTACTCAGTTCAGCTTACCTTCTTGGCCTGATACTTTAAGTTTTTGACCATTGCAAAATGCACCTTTTCCTTTTCTAGCAGTATACATCTTGTCTTCTATACAACTATACACAATTCCAAACTCTATCTGCAAGAAAAAGTAAAGATGCTTTGAGGTTTTTTTCCCCTTCTTCCTATTTACTGTGAAAATACAGATCTTGGTTATAACGAGCAACAAGGAATTAATTTGGTGTTGATTGATTAGATATTAAGTAATAAAAACTATACCTTTTTGTTTACAACAAAGCCAATTGAAACTGCCACAAATGGAAACCTACAAAACAAAACATTTCACTAATTTATAGTTAGATACTATGCTTCTTTCATTACCAAGCTTACTCTTAATAAAAACAATATTCAGGTAAATGTATTGTATATTTCAGTAAGAAACTTGGATTATATAGGAAATATTGGTTTTCTGGAACTTGCATGATTTACTATGAAAACAGACAAAGCAACACTGATTACCATTTAAAA